ACGGTGGTACAGCAGCAACAGACGATGCTACAGCAGCAACAGACGATGCTACAGCAGCAGCAGATGATGCTACAGCAGCAACAGACGATGCTACAGCAGCAGCAGACAATGCTACAGCAGCAGCAGACGATTCTACAGCAGCAGCAGACGATGCTACAGCAGCAGCAGACGATGCTACAGCAGCAGCAGACGATGCTACAGCGGCAGCAGACGATGCTACAGCAGCAGCAGACGATGCTACAGCAGCAGCAGCAGCTGACGGTGGTACAACAGCAGCTGATGGTGGTACAGCAGCAGCTGTACCACCAATAGTAGCGATGGTTGATTGGGGTTTATTATACAACCTGGCCAGCTCGGAGACACGCACTCCACTTTCATACTTATCAATGATCTCTTTCTTCATCTCTATTGGAATTCTCACCCTTATTGCTGTAGGGTTGGCACTAGAAGCTTTCTTGGGGCCCATGGTCACTTATTTTCCAGAAAAAATCACCAAAAACACTGTAATAATACGAAATGTTCCGATTGTATGCTTGGATGTTACCGCGGAGGCTGGCTGGTAAACAATGCCACCGCCGGAACATGTGAGCGTGGCTCAGGCCGCACATTGGATGCGTCTCGGACGAAGGGCGGTGAGCGGGTTTTTGGGCGGTATGCGAGGCAAAATTTTTGCGAAAAAAGCGAGCGGTATGCGGATTGTATGGTATGCGATGCGTGCGGTATGCGGGGGTCCACTGTACAGTGGTCCCTCGTTTATCGTATTTAATCCGTTCCTGGAGGTGCTACTATTATTGAAATCTATGATTTTCGAATCAATTTTCCCCATAAGAAATAATGTAAATACAATTAATCCATTCCTGACACCCAGAAGTATTAAAACAAAAAAATTTTTTACATGAAATATAGATGTAGTACATAAACAATACAATGGGACATGATGAATGAAACATTAACAGCATAACACTTACCTTTATTGGCGATTCTTCTTAGTGTATGGAAGACTGGAGGAGGAGAGAGATTGGATTAGTTACTCTTTGGAAGGGGAATCCCCTTCTATCAGCACCTCAGGTACCAAGTGCTTTCCTGGGGTTACTTCTCTTCTCTGTTTCTTAATGCCACTAGGACCAGCTTGAGAGTGACTGGAGTCCTGTCTCGCAAAATAACTGTCCAGAAAGCTCTGTTTCTGGCGTTTCTTTAACACTTCCCTAAAATGAGCCAAGACTTTGTCACTGTACATGTTGCCAACATGGCTTGCAACAGCCTTGTCAGGGTGATGTTTCTCCATAAATCTTTCCATCTTACCCCACATTTCAAAAATCTCTCTAATTTCTGAAGAAGGCACCTTCTTCCATCTCTCTTCCTCCTCCTCTGCAGCAAGATTCTGAGCTGCGATCTGTTGCTGTTCCTGCTGAAGCTCTTGCAGTTCCTCAGTGGTGAGCTCTTCGTTGTGGTATTCCACCAACTCTTCCACATCCTCCAAACTCACATCCAACCCCATGGAACTCCCCAGTGCCACAATAGATTTAACAACAGACATAGGCTCATCAGGGTCAGCCCCAAACCCTTCAAAATCCCTCTTATGGACACAATCTGGCCACAATTTTCTCCAAGCAGAGTTCAAAGTCCTGGTAGTCACTCCCTCCCAAGCCTTACCTATAAGGCTTATGCAATGGAGAATACTGAAGTGTTCTTTCCAAAAATCTCTTAGGGTCAAGTGAGTGTTTGAGGTCACATTAAAGCACCTTTGAAACATTGCTTTGGTGTAGAGTTTTTTAAAGTTTGCAGTGACCTGCTGGTCCATGGGCTGGAGGAGAGGAGTGGTATTCGGGGGCAAGAACTTTACTGTGATGAACCCAAACTCCTCGAAAATTAGGTCATCCAAGTTTGGAGGATGAGCAGGTGCATTGTCCATTACTAGGAGGCACTTGAGATTCAATTTCTTTTCCAGGAGGTAATTCTTCACACTAGGGCCAAACACTTCATTGAACCACTCAACGAAAATTTCCCTCGTGACCCATGCCTTACTCTGAGATTTCCAAAACACACACAATTTACTCTTCATAACATTGTTTTTTCCTGAACACTCTGGGATTTTCAGAATGGTACACTAGTAAAGGATTCACTTTCAAATCCCCACTAGCATTAGTACAGAACATGAGCGTCAGCCTGTCTTTCATAAGCTTGTGTCCTGGCAGTCCCTTTTCCTCCTGAGTAATATAGGTCCTCTTTGGCATTTTCTTCCAAAAGAGGCCTGTTTTGTCACAATTGAACACTTGTTCAGGTTTCAGTCCTTCAGCCTCTATGTACTCTTTGAATTCATGCACATATTTTTCAGCCGCTTTGTGGTCCAAACTAGCAGCCTCACCATGCCTTACCACACTGTGTATGCCACTACGGTTCTTAAATCTCTCAAACCAGCCTTTGCTGGCCTTAAATTCACAAATATCAGTACTCGTTGCAGGCAATTTCTTTACCAGATTGTCGTGCAACTGCCTAGCCTTTTCACAAATAATCGACGTCATAATACTATCTCCTGCTAATTGTTTCTCATTTATCCACACCAATAACAACTTCTCAACCTCTTCGAGTACTGGTGATTTCATTTTTGTCAGCATATTTACCCCCTTTGCAACAACAGCGTCCTTGATTTCCTTTTTCTTGGCTGCGATGGAACATATGGTTGTACGTATAGGGTTTGTTATACATCCTGGCCAGTTTGGCCGCACTTAAGCCACTTTCATATTGTTCAATGAAGTTTTTCTTAAATTCATTCGTATTTCTCACCTTCTTTACCAAAGGCTTGGCACTAGGAGCTTTCTTTGGAGCCATGGTAGCTCATTTAGTACTTGCAAGCACTAAAATGAGTGGAATATTATGAAATATTTCTTAGGAGCAAGTGAGGGGACCGTCGTGAGTCAATCTACGATTAGCGAACCCATGTTTATACGAAAATATCGCTATGATTTCCGAAATCTACGACTCGCGAGCCCTACGATTATCAAGGGACCACTATTGTATATTTTCTAAAGTATGCAAAATGTAACTTTAACCCGTAAACGGTCCAAACGTATATATATTTTTTTACCGCTAGTGCCCCAAACGTATATATACGTTTTTTTTGTCATACATTCAACATTGCCACAATAAGCCTGAGTCGCCTAGACATGAGAGAATGGGTGTACGCATTCACTGTGCACCATGTTAAAATAATTGGGGATGCCTGGGTACCATATGCTCTTTTTTCCTATTAAAAAATATAAAAAAAAAAATTTCTCTAAAAGGTTGGGGCACTACAGGAGAGAACGTATATATATACATTTGAACCGTTTACAGGTTAAAAAGCTTGAAATTTTGGAAAAATTCCAGACATAATAGAGATGTGCTTATGGAGGATGTAAACAAACTGGGTGGAGCGCGCCGTATTAGAAAGACCTCTTGCCGTATAGCAACTTTGGTCGTAATTTGAAATTGCCATATTAGCGGAACGCCGTAAGGTGAAATGCTGTAAAGCGGGGCCCTACTGTATTATTATTATTTGAGATAAAGAAAAATTAAAATGTTTGTATGAAATAACAGGATTTAATAATATGTATTAACCCTTTGAGGGTCGACAGGCCCTCTCCGAAACTCGTTCTCAGGGTCGGCCAAATTTAAAAAAAAAAAAATTATTTTCTCTTATGAAAAGATAGAGAATCTTTTCCCGATCATAAAGACACCAAAAGTTTGAAATTTGATAGAAAACTTACGGAATTATGCTCTCGCAAAGTTAGCGGTCTCGGCGATGTTTACGCATCGGCGATTTTGCCCACTTTGAGCCCCATTTTCGGCCAATTTCACTGTACTAGTCGACAAAAAACATGAATATTTCGCTAGAACTCCATTTTTTCTATCGAATGGGTGCAAGAAACCACTCATTTATGAAATTCAACTATCCAGTACAGTGGTCAGAATTTAGCAATTTTGCCAATTTCACACAAATTTCAAAAGATGCCAATTTCCGAATAGGGTCCAGAATAAACAAGAAAGACATTCCTGGCACTAAAATGACATTTCCTCTGGTCATTAGTCACATCTCAAGGCCCCTCTTATATTCTTTTGCTTTCCACTTTGAATTTTTATTATTATTATTTTTTATTATCACACCGGCCGATTCCCACCAAGGCAGGGTGGCCCGAAAAAGAAAAACTTTCACCATCATTCACTCCATCACTGTCTTGCCAGAAGGGTGCTTTACACTACAGTTTTTAAACTGCAACATTAACACCCCTCCTTCACAAAAAATAGAAGATTTACTGTTATGCAGACTATTGCATTAGTGTAAGAAATGGTATAAATATTATTGGTGCATTTGTGAAAGAATATTAGACTCACCAGTTGACGTGTATTGCACGCTTGGCACGATTTGTTTACTTTTGAAGTTTGGTAAAAATCGAACATTTCTGCTACTTTGAGCTCAATTTCAAGGCACTTTTCTTTGTAAAACCAGTCAAAATCATTTCAATTTCTGTAATATGTCTTCCATTTTATAAAATGAGACCAAGAAAACTAGAATACAACAATAAATACCATACGAAAATACACTGCAAAGTCGCTGATTTATTAAAAAAAAATGGTAAAAGTTTTTTTTTTCTCATTATGCACTGTGTGCTGCAGGATTTTTTTTAGACTGTGCACACTGACCACATAGACCCATTCTTTCATATGAAGGCCTACCAGCTTTCTCCCACTAGATTTGAGGCCGCTAGAATTTATGAGTACTAGTACGTCAAAAACCCCTACGCGTAAGACGTACTAGTACGACGAAAACCCTCAAAGGGTTAAATAAGCTATGTATAAAATAAGCTATATGTGGAAAATCTTTAAATAAATATTTACAATACGTATTTTTATTTATTCTGAAAAATTTTGGATATTATTATTTACTTGACACCATAATGAAGAAAAAGTTTACTTCCTTACATAAACACACGAATGTTGCATTTGAGATGTGTGTGTTTCAGCAACTGAAGCACATGATGATGATGGGTTGCCCCATACACTGGAGCATTTGGTTTTCTTGGGGAGTGAAGACTACCCATACAAAGGCGTGCTCGACCTGCTGGCCAACCGCTGCCTCGCATCCGGCACTAATGCCTGGACAGGTAAGATAAGATATGTTTGGATAACCCAATAAAGTCAGTGCATAATCAGGTACTGTCTATCTTATTCCCATTGAGTGAATGTATGGTTTGGTACTTTCTTATTTTAAAGTTTACCACAGTTATTTAGTAATGATGCTTGCAATTTTCTTTTTAAATATTTTTTACTACACAACATTCTCTCTACCATAAATATTTTGTATGACATGGAGTACTGCACTTTACTAAAAATCTTTAATGAATTAGATTTTAATTAAAGATTTAGTTATAAGCTTTATAAAAATATTCCAATAAAACTGATTACTAACTCAAATTTTCTCATTACATATTGCAATTGCTTTTTGATAATGTTATACAGTCGAGTTCTGTACTGTATTTGTATCTTTGCATTCACCCATAATGTAAAATAGATATAGGCATACTTCGCAGACCGGGCCGCGGGGGCGTTGACCCCCGGAACTCTCTCCAGGTAAACTCCAGGTAATACATGGGGTTTGTTCCAAAGTTTCAGACCATTATGGGGGCTTTAGTAAATGAGGGTTCTGGAAGCATAATGATGAAAATTAAATGCTTGGGAAAAAATAAATAGTTTTCAATATCCCACAAATAATTTGCTTACCTTCATGGTTATTTCCTGCCGACATACAGTGGACCCTCGGTTATCGACTGTAATCCATTCCAGAAGCTTGGCCTAAAACCGAAATGGCCAAAAACCGAAATAATATTTCACATAAGAATTAATGAAAATACAATTAATCTGTTCCAGAACCCAAGAATATTCTCAAAAAATGACTTTCATAAAGATTAATTATAGTTTTACATACAGAAAACAATGGGAACTAAATAAAATAAATACATGAACAATTAAATCAGTATTACATACTTTTATTGAAGACTCTTCTTGGCTTATAGAAGATAGGGAGGAGGAGAGAGGCTTGAGAGTCACTGTACCCCTGCAACTCACTCCACTTTGCACACATGTCCTTAATCACTGAAGAAGGCACATTCTCCCCTCTCTCTTCCTCCTCTTCTGAAGTAATTTCTTCACCTGTGGTTTGTTGCTGTTACAGATGAACGTTTTGCAGCTCTACCCCTCTACCACCATCACTACCACCCTCTACCACCATCACTACCATCCTCTTCCATCACCATTCTTGTACTTTGCTACAATTTCTTTCTTAAATTCCAAAGGAACTTTACAAGGAACTTTCTTTGGGGCCATGTTTATTTATTTCACAGTTGCATTTAATAAATAACCACTCAAAAAATGGATTATAGCAAAATTTGGATGAATGAGTAGAAGTTTCCTCACTCACCCAGAGACACAGCCAGACTGATGTGTGAGCAGCTGGTGGCGGTGGGTTGACGCGTCCCACATGGCCGATAAGCGAAATAATGGCCGATTACCAGAAACCAAAAAACCGGCCGATAACCGGAAGCCGAAAAACCGGCCAATAACCGGAAGCCGAAAAACCGGGCGATAACCGGAAGCCGAAAAACTGGCCGATAACCGGAAGCCGAAAAACCGGCCGATAACCGGAAGCCGAAAAACTGGCCGATAACTGGAAGCCGAAAAGCCGGCTGATAACTGGAAGCCGAAAAACCGGCCGATGACCGGAAGCCAAAAAACTGGCCGATAACCAAGTTGGCTGATAAGTGGAACGGCCAATAACCGAGGGTCCACTGTATAGAGAAGTACACAGTATTCTGTACATACTGTATAATATATGTGGTGTTGTACTACAATAAAAATTAATTGAAGGGTTTACTCGCCAGTTAGTTGCCTTGGTCCTGCTTATGATTTTATAGCATTGATAATGATGGAATGAATAGCAGTGTTCATGGATGGCTGGGATTGTGGCAGGCTCATATATGTTTTAAGTAGATAAGAAAGCTGGAGGAGGATTGCAGATGTTCATATTGTCAAGAAGCTTGGAGAAACCTCTTTCTTATAATGACAGAGAATCTTCACCTGTAGCTCATTTAAAGTGTTTATGTATATTGTACTTACAATTTTACTTCTTAAGTCTATCAAATTAGCCTCAGTTATCAGTAAAAGTTTCTAATGCTACAAGTTCATCACCTTATTTCTTAATATCTTCATATGAAGTACATTTGATTTCTTGTATCTCACTTTAATTAAGTGTTTCTCAACCAGGATTCTGAGAGAAAGTGATAAATAGGCTCTTGTGTGTGTGAGCAAGCTTTTTTTTTTATTTAACAAGTATCAAGAGCAGTTGAAGATGAAATCCGTGTGTGCTTATCTAAAGTTCAACCCCAAATTAAGTATTTGTGTACCAAAAAACAAAAAAAATTTACATTAGTGAAGCAAATTTCATTATCTAAATAGGCCATAAAAATAACATTTCCTTAACCCATATATTAGTTTTTATGACATTTTGCCTTAATTTATCTTATGCCTTTTCAGCACTGTCAGTAAACGATTAAGTTATTGTAGTAGTTATTATCTGTTTTTGTTCTGTTTGCGTTATGTGTGACATTGGTTATTATATATTTTTTTTTTTTGTTTACTGATATGATCAATTTTTTTGTGTGAATGGAAACCTCCATATGAGGTCTCTTGAACAAGTAGCTTGATTTTATTTTATTTTATTTATTTATTTATTTATTTATTTTCCATTGTCAATATACTTGAGAAAAACTTAACTGGTTTTAGCAAAAAATAACTTATCAGGTAGAAATATTATATTTTCCTTATGAACTTAAGTTTATAAAAGATAAAGAAATATAGTAGACCCTTATATTACACGGTAGTTACGTTCCTGAAAATGCTGTGTTATTCATATCCGTGTTAGATAAACTGAAGACTTATGGGAAAAATGGGGTTATGTTCCTGGGAGCCCCAAAAAAAGCTAAACTTTTTTTTAGACCTCCAGATCTTACAAAAATAAAAGTGAATATGTAATTGTTGTTCATTGTCATGATGTATTATGTTGTTTTTACTGCTTAAGACTACAAATATTTGATCCAATAGAAATAATAGCATGTATTTCTTAACTTAAATTGTGGGTGCTGGTGTTTGTGGATGATTGTGAAGAGAGTGGAGAGTTATGTTGTGGTCCTACTGGGCTGAGGTGGATGGTAGAGGTTCTGGTACTGAAGTTGATGGTTGTACTGGAGTGTCCATAAATTCTGTTATGGATTTCTGGGCTATTTTACCCTGCAGTACATTATACAGCTGATGGTAAGGCATCAGTCAAGTTAGTCAAGTCAGTCAGTAAATCAGTCAAATTAGTCATGTAAGTCTGTCAGTCAAACAAGTCAGTCAAATAAGTCAGTCAAGTAAGCCAGTTAGTTATTCATCACGCAAACTCGTATATTTACCTCATTTTTTTAATAATACAAACTGACTCTTCATTAAGATCATAGGCTCTTACTATATCATCACACGTGAGGCACTCTTAAGTTTGTCTAATATCTCGATTTTCTTTGTAATTTCAAGACTTAAACGCTTAACCACTGGGGCTCTGGTGGCCTGGTGGTTAACGCTCTCGCTTCACACGGCGAGGGCCTGGGTTCGATTCCCAGCCAGAGTAGAAACATTGGATGTGTTTCTTTCTACCTGTTGTCTATGTTCCCCATCAGTAAAATGGGTACCTGGGTGTTAGTCGACTGGTGTGGGTCGCATCCTGGGACACTGACCTAAGGAGGCCTGGTCACAGACCGGGCCGCGGGGGCGTTGACCCCCGGAACTCACTCCAGATAAACTCCAGCAACACTTGTATGCCTACTGGGTGCCACGATTGCTTGGCAGATAAAAGATATGGCAATTAAAAGATCAAAACACAGTCCACAAACAGAGCTAGCTCCTACACGCGTATGAACCGAAGGCTGGGACAAGGGTGCCAGGAGATGGTCTCCCCCGTTGACTCATTGGTCTAACCCACAGCCAGGTGACGGCCTGAGTTGAGAAAATATCCCACGGGCAACTCTCCAAATTTTTTCCCCTCCTGCAAACTGAATCATCTTGAGTTAATTTTATGAAGTGTTTTATAATATTATGCTGCAATTTTTCAATATTGTAATAACTAAAACGTGCCACACAAATCTGTGTAATATAAGGGTCTACTGTAATAATGGTATATAATTTTTTATGTCGGGGTTCCCTTAAACATGAAAATTATTTCAAGGGTTCCGCAAGGGTAAAAAGGTTGAGAAAAGCTGGTCTAAGGCATAGTGTACTATATTTCTTTTAGTTTTATGTTTGATCCCTTCACTTAAGTGACATATTGTCCAGTAATGCGTAAGGCCTTCATGATGGTTTCATAGCTGCTTTAGTAGTTACTATTGTAACTATAATTTTCCATTAGAAATTTTATTAGCTTTTTTATTCTGCTGCATACCTTAAATGATTCACAACTAACCTGTCATTTTCATTCTTGCTGGACCATTATCAAATCATGACTGATAATGGTCCAGAAAGAACTAAAGCATTATATAATACGTATAATAATGATAAAGGTTTATCTCCAATTTGTGGGTTAGTTATGAATTGTTCTAGCCATGGTATTGTGGCTTTTATTCTTTATCTTACGTGATATGTATTTTTTGTGAGGTGTACCAGTAAGCCAGTGGAAGACCTCAGTCTCATGATAAATAGTTCCACTGAGGGGACCATCATATAATTTAAGACCAGATCGGGAATAATTTTCCCATTTCTTCTGACAAACAAAACAAATTTCTATATAATGTTCAATTTTAAGATTTAAAGTACTATTTTTTCTCTTTTTTGGGATCACCTTGGCAGTCCTTACTATCAGTAGATATTCAATACTTAGCTGTGATTAAATGTTAAATAGCATTTACTGTAATTGGAGATGAGATTTTGAGACTACACCACATGTGACGAGAGGAAATTACCATTTGTTTTTATTTATTTATTTATTTATTTATTTATTTATAATTTGAGCACACTTACAGAGGTACAAAAAAAAAAAATACAGATAAGAGCAGCATGCCAAAGCCACTTATACTATGCATAGCATTACGGGCTGGCTTAAAATTAACTTAAGATTAACTAAGCAATGATGAAATCAGTGAAAAACATTAATGTAAACTGATTACTATAAAGCACAAGTGAGTATTACAAAGACAGGTCATATGGTTGCATGCATTGTTGTAAATTCAGTAGAATGGAGTATTCTGTTAGGTAGTGAATTTAAAAAATAATAAAGTTAGATTGGGTTTTAGGTTTAACATTTATGTGATATAATTGTGAGAAACATTTAAGATATACATTTATAAGGTTCAGTTATTCAGTATTTATTTGGTTTTGGGTGAGTAAGTGATCTTTGAGAAGAGACTTGAATTTATAAACAGGTAGTGTTTCTTTTATATTAACAGGTAATGAATTCCAGATTTTAGGGCCTTTTATGTGCATTGAGTTTTTGCATAGCGTGAGATGGACACGAGGAATATCAAAGAGTGATCTGTGCCTTGTGTTATGGTCATGTGTTCTGTTGAGGTTGGCAAGGAGATGTTTGAGGGGAGGGTTAATATCAGAGTTGAGTGTTCTATGTATGTAATAGGTGCAGTAATAAGTATGGATGTTTTGTATGGTGAGTAGGTTGAGTGTATTGAATATTGGTGGAGTGTGCTGCCTGTAGTGAGAATTTGTTATCATTCTAACTGCAGCCTTTTGTTGGGTAATTAGTGGTCTGAGATGGTTACTTGTTGTTGAGCCCCATGCACAAATTCCATAGGTGAGATAGGGGTAAATAAGAGAGTGATATAGGGCCAGGAGGGCTGGGTACAAATCCTCCCTAAATTTACCTAGTCACATTGCCCCTAGGCAATGTGATTAGGTGAGTAGGCCTCCCACCTAACTAGTTACATGGAAGGCATCGCTCTCTTCTGGGGCATGCAGCTAACAGAGACAAATTAATCAACAGCGTGCAGTATGAAATGTAAGAGAAAATGTAAGTGATTACCTTCCTTTCCCCTTGAGTTCAATGGGGTATTGAGAAAGGAGAACAGTGAACAGTGGTGTATTCCTATAATAACCAGCCAAAGAAGATCAAATTGTTGAATTCTCAATGTTGAATTAATTTAATGTCTTAGGTTTTGCAATCTACAAGTCAAAATACTTTATTTTTAATTAACAAAATAGTTTGGAAATGCAGATAGATTTTATTCGTTTTTCTTCCAATATTTTTTATGTAGATTTCTCTATACTGTACATGCTGTATATTTTATTTGTTTTTGACACCTTGTATTCCAATGGGAACTCCACTTCGAAGGGGTAGCCACAGTAAAAGTGTGCAAGTAACTCTGTCTTAACCATTACATTACAGACCAGGAATCTAGCCTATATTTTACTTCTCCAGTTTTCTTTTCTTGCTGGTAATAGGTTGGAAATCTCGTATTGAAACTACATTATATATCAGTCATTTTAAATTTATAGATGCCAAAGTGCATTGTTATATAATTTTATTAGTGGCACATTTTATGTTGCAAATTACATTTCATGATAAAGTATTGAGTTAATAGATTTTTGCTGTCAGTGATGTATTTAATTTATTCTCATTATACTGTACTGCATGCCAACAGACACAGACCATACTGCATACACCATCCAGACAGCAGGCAGTGAAGGGTTCCTCAATTTATTACCAATCTACCTAGACCACTTGCTGTATCCTACGCTTACTGTAAGTTACACTTTTTAGCTAGGTTAATTTATTTTTTACCTATTTGTCAATGCATGAACACAGCTGTCCTCATGGTGTTCCACTGTCTGTAATTAATTTTCATGTAATTATTTTTTTAAAAATCCATTGGTCGTAGAATTTTCTAGTGGGAAAGGGGAGGGCTCTTAAACAACAACAAAAATGGATTTATCTTCCTTTTCCTTGTATTGAACCTGATTACCTCCAATTTTCCCAACAGTTGTATGATCCCCATATGTGCTTTCCCCATGAATGTAATAATTCAACATATACTACCCTACTCCCTTAACCCATTCCTTTGTTTAACCACTGGGATAATATTTGAGCATACTTTCAGCACATTTTTCTCAGTTTACAACTGTGTTCTCTTGATTTCTGGAATGTGCTGAGAAATCTTTATCTATTCTTTCATACAGTATCTTCTTATGACCATACAGTAAACCCTCAATTAGGGGGAGTGTGGTGGTTAGTAATGGTGATTGTGATAGAGATGAGAGTGGTTTGCTGTAATCATAAGAAAGAGAAATTCTGTAAGCAGTAGACTTTGTTCGTTGTTTCTGAATCGCTTGACTGGATTTTGTCCTATATTTCTGAAATCTTTTAAATTGAGAATTTACTGTATATGTAGTTACCATGTCTCCTCTTTTTCCTGGTATCATCTAATGAGGGCAGCACCTATAGTGTTTCCAGGTTTAGTCACGACTCTTATTGTTCATTTAGGGAATCATTTTGTAGCTGTTAATTAGGCATTTTTCTGTCATGTCCTCATTTTTTTAGATGCTGACTGTGGTCTGTAAACCCACTGCATATCCCAGTATTGGGCTAACATATAGTGTAAATAACTTTTTCTTTAGCATTTCCTCATCAGTATATTTGAAGAATACAATGAACTCTCGACTAACTCCTTTAATCCGTTCCGGAGAGCTAGCCTTTAGCCGAATTAATTTTCCCCATAAGAAATAATGGAAATCCAGTTAATCCGTTCCAGACACTCGAAAGTATTAAACAAAGTAATTTTTTTTTTTACCTGAAACAATGATGCATGCCCAATAAACAATACTGAAATGACACTTACCTTTATTGTGGACTTGTTGATGAGTGATGAGATGGGAGGAGGGAGAGGATGAAGGTGTACTAGTGTTTGGAAGGGGAATCCCCTTCCATAAAGACTTCAGGTAACAAGTTCTTTTCTGGGGTTACCTCCCTTCTTGGTTTTTTAATGTCACTGGGAACAACTTGAGAGTCACTGGACCCCTGTCACACAAAACATTTCTCCAGAGAGCTCTGTTTCTCACATCCCTTTAAGATTTCCCTAAAATGGGACACAAGAGTGTCATTGTACATGTTGCCAATACGGCTTGCAACAGCTGTGTCAGGATAATATTCTTCCATAAATGCTTGCAACTTTGTCCACATTGTACACATTTCCTTAATCTTTGACGAAGGCAATTTCCTCCGTCTCTCTTCCTCCTCCTCTGAAGCAAATTTCTGAGCTGTGATCTGTTGCTGTTGCACCTGAAGCTCTTGCAGCTTTGTAGTGGTTAGCTCTTTATTGTTGTCCTCCACCAACTCTTCCACATCCTCGCCACTAACCTCCAACCCCATGGACTTCCCCAATGCCACAATAGATTCCACAACTGGCGTAGGCTCCTCAGGGTTAGCCCCAAACCCTTCAAAATCCCTCTCTTGTACACATTGTGGCCACAATTTTTTCCAAGCAGAGTTCAAAGTCCTGCAAGTCACTCCCTCCCAAGCCTTACCTATAAGGTTTATGCAGTTAACCCCTTCAGGGTCCAAGGCCAAAATCTGAAGTGGTGCTCCAGTGTCCAAGAAATTTTGAAGAAAATATTATTTTTTCTTAACCCTTTCAGGGTCCGTCCCGTAGATCTACGGCTTTACGTTCAGGGTCCAAACCGTAGATCTACGCCATGAGCTCAGCTCACTCTGATAAACTGTGAGTGGTACATTTGGGCCTAGATATGAGAGAATACATCTATGTGGTATGTGTGCACCACATAAAACAGATCCTGCAACACACTGTGTATAATGAGAGAAAAAAAATGAAATCATGATTTTTCGATTAAAACAGCAACTTTGCAGTGTTTTTTCGTATGTTTTTTATAGTTGTATTTGCGATTTCTTGGTCTCATTTGATAGAATGGAAGACATATTACAGAAATAGAGATGATTTTGATTGGTTTTAGCACTGGAAATGGCTTGAAACTGAGCTCAAAGTAGCGGAAATGTTAAATTTTTGCCGATATTCAAGAGTAAACAAACGACCTCACACATCTAATACACGTCAGCTGGTGGGTCTAATATACATTCACAAATATGGTGATGATATTTATACAATTATTACAGTATTGCATAACAGTAAATCTTCTTTTTTTTGGTGTTAATAAAAATTCATTATGTGAATAAAAAATTAAAATGGAATTTATTTGTAAAGCCTCAAAACATAATTAATGAACAGAGGAAATGTTAGTTTAGTGCCAGGAATGCCTACATTGTTCATTCTGGACCCTATTTTGAAATTGGAATATTTTGAACTTTGTGTTAAATTGGCCAAATTAACAATTTCCGATCACTTTATTTTGTAGTTGAAACAGTTGACTTGGCGATTTCTTGTGCTCAATCGATAGAATAGAAGTAATACTAGTGAAATAGCTAAGAATTTGGTTGATTGGAATAATGTAATTGGCCTAAAATGGGAGTCAAAGTCGGCAAAATCGCCGATTCGTAAATGTCGCTGACACAACATCAAAATTCGCGAGAGCATAATTTCGTCAATTTTCCACCAAATTTTGTACTTTTTGTTTTATTACCTTCACAAAAAGATTCTCTACGATTTCATAAGAAAAAATAACAAATTTTTTTTTTTGAAAATTCTTGGACACTGGTGCGTGACTCCAGATTTGGGCCTTGGACCCTGAAAGGGTTAAAGAATTAAAGAGTATAATTTTGTGATGGTAATAAGACAAAAATTTTTTTTTTCTGATCAGTACTTACCGAGATACAGCGGCGGGAAGTTGACCCAAAATGACCGGGTGGCGGCAACATCAGTGACTTCCGCAAAATCCCATTTTTTTATTTTGTTTTTTACAATTTTTTCTTTTCTTTTCTAATTTTTTCTTTTTCTAATAACATTTATGGCCTGTGAGACCAGTATAATGTATATTGTATAAGTGTACACTCATTGTATTGAACACAATAACTGCACTAATTTGTTTATCATTATATTGCTTACAAAACTTGTTTACAAGTTTATTGTAAACAAAATGATGAAAATATTAGTGCAGTTATTGTGTTGAATACAATGGTACCATATAGTACCATATGGTACAATGGTGCCATAGGGTGCAATTGTACCATTTGGTACAATGGCACCATATGATGCAATGGTACCATATGGTACAATGGCACCATTTGGTACCATATGATACAATGATACCATATGGTGCAATGGTACCTTATGGTACCATATGGTGCAATGGTACCTTATGGTACCATATGGTGCAATGGTACCTTATGGTACCATATGGTGTAATGGTACCTTATGGTACCATATGGTGTAATGGTACCATATGATGCAATGGTACCATATGGTACATTGTACTATATGGTACTGTTGTATTCAACACAATAAACACACTAATATTTTCATTATTATTTTGTTTACAATAGTTGTTTACAACAAAAATATGCAAAAATGTTGTATATTAGTAATGTTCTATTATATATTTACAAGTGTACAGGAACTTGACGTGTTCCTTGAGGTGGATGACAAAGCACTTTGTCTCGGAAACTGCAAACTGCGGAGTCAGTAGCTAGCTTGTGTCGCCACTCACTCAGTCTTGGCTGGTGTCTCATACCACCAATACCTATTGACCATAAGGTACACGGTATCATGTTACAGGGTACCATATAGTACATTGTACTATATGGTATAGGGTACCATGCAGTACAGGATAACATATGGTACAGGGTACCATATGGTACAGGGTACCATATGGCACAGGGTACCATATGGCACAGGGTACCATATGGCACAGGGTACCATATGGCACAGGGTACCATACAGTACAGGACACCATATGGTACAGATACAGGGATAACTGTGGAAATAAGTCACCCTGACTTTTTTGGGTTATCCTAAGATTTTATATGTATGCTGCTATGTATGATAATCTATGTAATTGTATTTCTGTACACCTGAATAAACTTACTCAAGTGCATGTGGCATCATAAGTAAGTTTATTTAGTTATACACAAATAAAGTTACATTGAATATCATACTTAGCAGCATATGTTTGGAGAACCTAGGATAACCCAATAAAGTCACAGACTTGTTTCCATTAGGGTCCCCTGTACCCTGTACCATATGGTATAATGTACCATATGGTACAATGTACTATATGGTACATTGTACCATATGGTACCACTCTGCCATACGATACCATTGTACCATATACCATTGTATGACATGGCACCATTGTACCATATGGTACCATTGTACCATATGGCACAATGGTACCATATGGTTCAAAACCATAGAATTCATCTTCAGCTCCACTTCTATCAGTCTTAGAACTGTAAGTTGTGAAGAGGAGAGTCAGAATTCGCCCGGAGAGTGAGTGGGGAGTGAGAGCTTCCTTGCCGCCAGGCACAATGAACAAAGCTACTTTGCTGGCGTTCCCACAATGCCATGCAGACGTCCAGATTTTTTCTATGGTGTGCACACTGACCACCCAGACCCATTCTCTCAGATGTAGGCCAACCAGCCTTCTCCCGCTAAATTTGACGCCGCTAGAATTTTGGCGTAGATCTACGGTTTGGACCCTGAGCGTAAAGTCGTAGATCTACGGGACGGACCCTGAAAGGGTTAAGGACACTGAAGTGATCTTTCCAGGACTCTTAGGGTCAATTCAGTGTCTGAGGTCACTTCAAAGCACTTTTGAAACACTGCTTTTGTGTATAGT